TTTCCATCACAGCATGATACAGTATGTGCCATACTCCACAATTTGCATAATGGGCACCAGGGTACTGCCAAGTGTAACGAAAGGGAACACAGAGGAAGGAGCCTCTGATGACAACTCTACTAAAGCCCCACCAAATATAGAAGCAGACATATGTGAATTTGTAATGTAGAACAGATCAGTAAAGCGAGGTACACACTAAGATAATCACGTCGATTTCGGCCCAGATTCCCCCTGCTGACAGATGTAAGCGAAGGCCAGATGTTTTAACGCTTTAAAAGATCATGCGCAATGTCCTAAATAAATAAATAAAAAATCCGTCCCTAGCAGTAGTTCTTTGACTTTGTCACACTTTCAGCTTACCTATAGGGCCAGAATCTTTGATCAAAAACAAAGACCTCAACAAGTTAACCTTAAAGGAGCAAAATGTAAGATATCTATTGAGTCGGGAATGAGGAAAAATGTCAACAACATAGCAGCCAGTTTGTCCTGGTCTGGAATGGTTTGTATTTGTCTTGATCAGAGAAGGTAGGCGCTTTTAAAGCACCCCACACGGCTGTTTTGGACACCCCTTGGTTTCCCAGGCAAACGGCTAACCAACAAGTGCTGCAGCGATGTAAACGGAACTTGTTCAGATAGAACTGATTCTACCCAAACTAGTAAATCCTCTCCACGTGGTAAATCTACTGATAAACATTGCGTGAGCATCGACTCTCGGGACGAGACAGGTCAAGGTCTCTCTTCAGTGTTTTGAAATTGAACTACAGTACCCATTTTAAACACTAGGTGTCAGAGTGTAGCTCCTTCAAAGTGCCAGCATTGTGTTCTAGTACGTGAAGCTTGTTCATCAATTGTCCTAATAAAACAACTCAAGCATGTAATGAAACAGGTTGTATTAATGAACCCATCAAATGTTTCAACAGATACATGCTCTGTTCATTTCATTTGTTTCACATTTGCTTAAGTGTTTAATTTTATGACACCATTTTTGAAGCACCATGGCTATTGCTTTAGCTTGACAGGCCAGCTGTGTGTACTTATGGTCTAAAAAATTTGACACATTTTTATTGAAGTATTTAAGTTCCCTCGCAGTTCCCTCGCATTCAGCCTGATTTAGGTTATATCGAAAATCCAGGGCACCTAATCAGATCAATTATCTGCATTTAAAATGTGTCACAAATGATGCAACGGTTCTATAACTGCTTCAGCTACTGTTGTCCTGGTGATATGATTGCATTGTTAAAGGTTGATCTAAATCAGTGGTTTTCAACCTATTTGTTTTTTTCTAAAGCTAAGCCCCCCCAACCCAGAAAGAAACAAAACATTTTTTAACATCAATTCACCGCACACCCATGCTCTTACCAATAGAACTACTCTTAATGTTACTTCAAACCCCTAACCCTTACTCTGTTGCAACACATGGAAGTACTTCCATATTTGATTCTTCTAAAGTGTCAAAAGATAATACAATTGTTTGTCTTTCATGTGTTCAGTAACATACTGAGGACTGAGAAACCGATTGTGTTAAAAAGCAGATACAATGACCATGTTCATATAGGATTTAAGACAGGTGTCTTGCTGAAATGATTTTCCATTTGCCTAAAAGACAGGATAGCTTCATGATTACAGCAGGACATCAGAAAGGCTGTGAAGCACTACAGCCAAACAGGATGGATATAGTCTGTATGAACATAAAACCCATAGTAATGCATGAATAATTTACAAGAAACACAATGAAACAGGAGTGTTTGGAGTGAAATCTGAGCACTGTGTTGCTTATGTGAACTAGGGGGGATGTCTCACCACCAGGCCAGACATGACATAAAAAGGAAGATGTGGAGGTCACAGTGTGATGTTTACAAAACATATAGGCAAGAAAAGTATGAAGTAGCTTTTTTCAAATGAGCCTTAAACTGCTTGTTCAAAATGTCCTCAGAGTTCACAGCTCTACTCAGATCCAAAGTTTTGCAGCTACAACCTCAAAGGCACAGTGGCCTTAAAGTTTTATGACTGCTGCGAGGAACAACCAGACCCTGATCACAGGACCTCAGGGTCCTGCTGGTGTTGTACAGCTTCGGCAGCTCTTTAATATAAGCAGCTGCTTGATCGTGCAATACTCTACACAGAATCACAAGAATTTTAACCTGGGTTGTTAAATCGATGGGAAGCCAAAGCAAAGACACAAGGATAAAAGTGACAACATGTTGGACCATTTGTTGGTGGTTCAAGGATGTGATGATGAGACATGTGAAAAGAGAGTTACAGAATGAAACAAAACCATGGACAATTAACTCTTCAGCTCTGGACACAACAGGGCTGAGTTTAGCTATGTTTTTTATATAGTGAAACGTCAGCAGTGAATTTTCTTGACTATTACCCGATGTGTTCACACATTGAGTTGACCCAGCTTATTGTGCAAGTTTTTTAACAAGGGGGCTGGCAGGAAAAAGTCCAGATAAAAGGTGAAAAATATGGATGCTTGTGTTCACACATAGCTCATGAAGTAAGAATTTGGGGGAAATGTATAAGCTGAAAGATGTCTTTCTTTCAAACAGTTTCATTTTCTCAAACCAAATGATATTATCACTAATAAGAATAGTTTGACATTTAAAGACTAACTCCTTTTCTTGCTGACATAAAAATGACACAATGGGGGCGCGCTGGGGGCGCGCTAGTGGCACAGTGGTTAGGGCGCGCGCCCCATGCATTGAGGCTGTCGTCTTGAGCGGGAGGCCCGAGCTCGCCTCCACCCGTGGCCCCCCTCCGCATGTCATTCCCCACTCTCTCTCCCTGGTTTCCGACTCTATCCACTGTCCTATCTCTACATTAAAGGCACAAAAAGCCCATAAATAAATCTTTAAAAAAAACTCAACTCCCTTATCCTTCTGTTAACTACAGAGCAGCCAGTAGGAGGTTAGCTTAGCTTAGCATGAACAATGACAACAGAGGGAAACAACTAGCCTGTTCAGAGGTTGCAAATCCACCTAGCAGCCCCTCTAAAGCTTAACTATCCTTAACCTTAAAGTAAAAATAAATAGGTTAAACAGTTCCTACCATATTAGAGAGATTAGAGAGAAGATTAATAACATGACAGTTCTTGAACAAGTGACAGAGTACAAAGATAAGATATAATTACCACTCACTTGAAGGGACCAGTCAGGTGCCATCAGGACACTTGTTCTCATTCTATAGGGGAAGTTATTCAGTGCTGAAAAGGCACTGATTGCAGGGCTCCAAAATCCAACCCCAAATCCATGGGAATGCTATTTGCTGCAAGAATGCGACTGGACTGTGAATAGACTGTTAATGGTGACAGACTTCTCCACTGAGACCATTTCAACAATTCTGAAAGAGCCACTGTGGCCTTCTATTTACTTTCCCAGCCTTCTTCTTTTTTGAAAAGCTTGGCTTTGGATTCACTACTTGTCTTCATTTAGATCCAATTTCTGTAAGAAAAGTAAAATAAGAGTTTTAACCATGAGCCTTGATTTCTTTCATTTATTTATGTTTACCCCTGAGTTCACACTATTTAGTTCATGTATTAGAGGTCTGCAGTAGCCTAACACAACCAAGCGACATGGGAAAAACAAAAATCCATACTAGTGTTGTAAAGCGCACAGGGAAACAGTGTCACATGCAGACCTGTGAGGGGTCAGGTTTCGCCTGTGACATGCCATAGATGACCATTTCTTCCTCTCCCCTCCCGCTGAGAAAAGAGGGCAAGCACCTCAAGACCAGCGGGTCAGTGCGCACTCACGTCTTCATTAATAATGCATGGCCCTCCATTTGAGCAAGCAAGTTGGAGACCAGCACAGTGGGACACACACAGTTGTTCATACATTAACCACACAGTGTACCCCTCTGTGGACAGGGACTGGAGAACCTGCCTTTATGTTGCTGATGTGATACTGACTCAGCTTTTAGCTGTGTGAGCTGTCACACCACATAAACATGTAATTAATCTAATGTCTGAGCTCAGGGATCCATACATGTTTATGGATGGCATGCTTGAGGCATGATTTTATTGAACGATGCTGGCATATGAAGATGCATTTGGACATGATTGTATTTGATTTTCGGGCAGAAATCTCTAGAAATGTAGACAGTGGCTATAGAGTCTGTTGGGGCTTGAGGCAAAACTCAAGTGGGGGGCCCTCCAAACAGCGCCAATCACCATGACTGACGCATACTCCTCTTCCTTTGTTTTCCTGTTCACCTTTTCTCTCCTATAGACGGATTATCCCTCTTCATTTTTCTTTGTGGACTTTCATCTACAAAGTTTGGTTTTAACAGCAATAATGCATACAACGCTAAGCAGGGCAACAAGAGTGAATGCTGTCAGATGGGGCTCCCTTAGGGGGGTTTCCAACTGTTGTTTCAAAATGTGTACATTTTGGGTCACTGCTGTGGTTTAAAGTTTGTCAGCCCTCAGGGGCCCACTACTGGCCTGGGGCCCCAATCAGTTGCATGCCTTGCCTGTTGACAAGCAGCGCCTCTGAATGTAGATTATGTTTATGTTGGATTAAAGCCAGATTGAGCCACATGTGCAAAGCATGCAAAACAGAGATTGTTATAAACTATTATCTATTCATAATATATTTCACACACATTTATTGTGTCCATAATCCATCCATCCATAATTGGATGGAAAATGTAGGATTGGTTTAGATGCTTTAAGAATAACTTCATTAGTGTTTGTTCCAAAACTCATGATCATTTGTTCAATATCGCGACTTTTTTTTTTTTAAACTGAATTTTAGGATTTTCAAACACATTTGATATGCCTCCCTAGCATTTTCCTAGAAGTAAAAAATAATCTATTCAGTGCAGATTCAGCCCTGCATGCATTTAATGCCTCCATGTCACACATATGCTCAATTCTGACTCCCATGCTGTGAAGACATCCCCAACTCCTCCGCCACCACTCTTTCTCCAGAAAATGTGACTCTATTCGGTTCAAAAATTCAAGCTGCACACCCGTCCTCCAAACGAGCCCTCGTTATGATTTAAATGTCGGGTTACACAACTGTCTGCAGAGGAAGCATCTTGTCAAATGTTTTTTTTTAGAACAGTAGGATCCTGGTGATCCTGGCCTATCAAGACTCTGCAGGTTCGCTGAGTAATCCACAATTTATCTGACTAACTCATCGAGATTTCGAAGGAGGAAAATCGATGGTTATAAATCTGTGATCTAACTTCAGTGTCCGCCCCGCGAACATGCACCAAGGTCCCCTCTTGCCTCAACGTTTGTCTCCCCTGACGCCGAGGGATTAAGCTGGGAGGGTGGAGAGAGAGAGAGAGAGAGAGAGAGAGAGAGAGGAGGAGGAGGACAGAAAAAAAGGAGAAAGATTTCAGCACCGGAGCTGTCCACGGCACTTGAAGAAGTCTCTATTCCTGCCAAGGAGGGGAAACTGCTTCCGATTGTAAATGATCTCTTGTGGACTGTGAGGAGGAAGGAATAATAAACTGCTCTGCCATTCATCTCTCTGCGGGGCTACCGACTGGCCAGGAAAGGCGCACATATTTCATTCGAGCAAAGTCTTGCCATGCTGGACGGCCGGGCTTGAGACAGAGAGGATAAAGTGAGAACAGCAGCCCTTCACTCTTTACGGTGAGTCAACATGCAGCCTGTTTGGCTTTCTCTATTGTTACATAACAAACTGAAAACTGTCATGCTGTATACTGTGCTGCTCTAGATTTTATTTTGTATCGATTATGTTGCAAGCATGAGCTGTAACGTGACGCCTATAGGTGCATACTGCTGGAAAGCCTCATTACACATGCTTGTATGGAAGATTATTTAGGTCAACATCCACATGGGTGTGGATGCGCGTCGCGATTGTAAAAAAAACTACAGGAGTTCACATTGCTATCTTTTGTCTCTCTCTGGTTTCAAAACAGTGCATTGTTGGATATAAACAAAACATATTGGAGTTCTTGGGACGTTGTTGTTAGAACAGGTAAAGCAGCCTTACAGTGAGTTGTACCAATGAGAGAGTCTGCAACTAATGGCATGTCTGGATGAGTCAAAATGATATCTGCAGCAGACCTAAGTAGTTTGCTCTTTCCCCAGCTGCTCTGTCCACTTCCTCCAGAACTGTCCCACAGGAGAGTGCAGCTGTCCATTAAGCCCTCCATCAGTCTTTGTTTACAACCCCTACTGTGCTTATCTTTTAGCCAATGCATGTAGGTCCTCAAACAAGCCAATTTCCGTGTTAACCTTGGAGCGAGTCCTGCTCCCCAGTCTGTGACAGATCCCTGCAGCCTGAGCTGCTTCACTGCTGCCTGTTCTGTGGTTATTGTCAGACTCTCTCTCAGAGTGTTTGGCTGGCACTGGCTCTCTGCCTGGCAGCGCCTGAATGCCAACGTGATGTCTCCAGCCTAACCGTGCATTGAGATTTAAATTCCTCCTCCATTCAGGCACTTTTTTTTGTTTGTCCATTCACAAACCCCCATATGCATCTGCTCAGCCTTGAGCATATCATGTTTTTTTGTGGAGAATGTTGTTTTGCTCAGGTTGATACTGGAGGGCTGGAGAAGAGACAGTGAAATGTCAGGGGAGGGCTGTTGGTTTATCCACACAACAGTGTTTCTTTCAGAAGAAATGAGGAATCTCGTAACCAGACGGAAAGAAGATACCAATATTTCAGCTCTTCTTGATTTGTTTGGCTCTGTGTGTCCAAGTGTACCTCCATCTGTGTCCATTTTTAATGGCTGTTAATGATGCCCCTCACTCACTATTACAGCGATCTGGGTGAACTCGTTAGTGTAATTAGTTCTAGGTCTTTGCCTCCCTGGTCTGTGGGTGAGATCTTCAGCTAAAGAGGGATTCATCCCTATGAAAAGGCATGCTTTGTGGGGCTTCCTTTCAAAATTCCCCCCCCCCCCCCCCCCCCTCTGAAACAAGGAATGAAAAGGAGGGCTGGTTTGGATTCTAATCAGCACATAACAGTGACATCCAACAGCTCTGGGAGGGTATTCATACAGTACATGTAACATGTTAGAAAGACCAGAATTGCTTCCTTTTTATGCTTTTATGATAGATAAGGTGTTAGTTGATAGTACATAACGGGGTGTTGTAAAAGTGTAGCTTGAAAATAGATGATCTGATGTGAGGTAAAAATAAAACCACTGATTCAGATTTTGGATTGTAAATTACTTTTGTAATCTATTGTAATCCAGCCAATAGCAATTCAAGTGTTCCAAAAATTTAAACTTCAGCTGTGTCAATATTGGTAAAAGTGTGTGTGCATGTGTGTGTGTGTGTGTGTGTGTGTGTGGGGGGGCAACAATATATCGCTGCCAATTTGATTCACCATGGCACAACTACACGACTCCTCACAGTGGTGCTTACGGCATGAACAAGACTAACATGAACATAATAGGTCAAAGAAGAAGTTGCCAGCTGGGTGAAAGAAGAAGACAACAGCAGTGGATTAGTGTTGGATAGCGGGGAAAAAGGAGTTAAAGGTTAAAGCATTATCATTGGTAAAATTAAACCAAAGCTGGTGAATAAATACATTAATCTGGCATTTTACCTTTTTAATGACTTTTTGTCTTGTTCAGTTAATCACATATGGTGAACAATTTGATTAAAACCACCAAAGTCATGACACCTGAGCATACTTGTTTTCTTGCTATATTTGCAAAGCACCCTATGGCGAAAACATCCAACAATAAATTAATCTTCTTCAAATAATCAATCAAACTTTTATTTATACAGCGCCAATTCACACATTCGACCATTTACAAAAGAGCAGTTAGTTAGCAGCAGGCTGTCCCCACCAACAATCCTGAGGAACCTACAAGACATTAGAGCGCACGAGCTCCCAGGAAAGTATGTGATTAGTTTCTTAAGATGTACAGATAGTGACATGCAGTAAATGCATGATGTCAAAGAGAGAGAGGTAAAGAGATAGGAGTTCAAGGTTCCAGTTTCCCTGGTAGTCTAAGCCTATAGCAGCATAACTAGGAGCTGGTCCATACCTGCGCCAGCCATAAGCTTTATGGTAAATGGACTTGAGCTTGTATAGTGCTTTTCTAGTCTTCTCACTACTCAAAGCACGTTTTCATGCTTGTCACACCTACACATTCACACACTGATGGCAGAATAATCAGAACTAACTAATCCCATTCATACACACTCATACGCCACCAAAGCAATCCGGGGTTAAGTGTCTTGCCCAAGGACACATCAGACATGTAGCTGCAGGAGCATGGGATTGAACCATCATCCTTCATAATAATAATAATAATAATAACTTTATTTATATAGCACCTTTTAAAAACACAGGTTTACAAAGTGCTTTGACAAACAGCAAGAACAAAGCAAACTAAACACAGAAAAACATTAACAACAGTAAGAATATAACAGATGCAAAATACCAAAAATAATTAAAAACAATTCAACAGAAAAGAACCCAAAGTGCACGATACCCAACCAGACATATATAACCCAACCATCATAAGAACCATCATAAGAACCCAGGAACACAAGAACCCAACAACATGAGCTGAGACCAAGAGGACCAAAGATTTAAAAAGATGTAAGAAACTAAGAGATAAAAGCAAATAAAAAGCAATGAGAAGGTAAGCGCAGTAAAGGAAATAAAAACAAGTGGTTAAAGGATCAAAAAAAAACCAAAACTATAATATTAATAAAAATAAAAATTAACTATAAATACGAAACATAAATAGACAAAGTAAGTAAGATAAGAAATTACCAAGTTAAAACACAAGAGGAGATTAAGATATGAGCATAAATACGAGATAAGACCATAAATAAAAGACAGTAAGAAGTAGAAGAAGATAAAAATAGTAAAACCAGTAAGAGAAGACATTAAGAAGACGACATCACATAAAAGCAAGTCTGTAAAAGTATGTTTTAAGAAGGGATTTAAAAGAATTGAGGGAGTCTGCGAGTCTTATCTCCTCAGGGAGGTCGTTCCAAAGTCGAGGGGCCCTGACTGAAAAGGCCCGGTCACCTTTAGTTTTAAGTCTCGACTTTGGAACGACCAGGAGGCTCCCACCCGAGGATCTAAGACTGCGGGCTGGCTCATATGGTGTCAGTAACTCTGTTATATAGCTTGGAGCCAGCCCCGTCCGTGCTTTAAAAGTAATGAGTAAAATCTTAAAATCGATTCTAGAACGTACAGGAAGCCAGTGTAATGAAGCTAAAATTGGAGTGATGTGATGTCGTCTGTTACAACCAGTAAGAAGCCTAGCTGCTGCATTTTGGACCAGCTGGAGGCGAGACAGTGACTTATTTGTGATTCCGGAAAAGAGGGAGTTACAGTAGTCAAGTCGGGAGAAGATGAGGGCGTGGATGATCTTTTCAAGGTCTTGTTGGGTTAGGATTGTTTTAATTTTGGAGATGGTGCGTAGATGGAAGAAGCTTGATCGGACAACTGTTTTGATATGGGATTCAAAGGTGAGATTGCAGTCGAATGTTACTCCTAGATTTCTGGCGGTGGGTTGGACATTGGTGAATAAGGGACCGAGGCTGCTCTTTGAGATATGAGTGGTGTTTGGCGGGTTGAATACTATGATTTCAGATTTAGAATTGTTCAGTTGGAGAAAGTTTTGCGCCATCCAGCAGTTGATATCGCTTAGGCAGTTTCTGACAGCAGCTAGGCTCCTAGGGTCCTCAGGTCTCAAAGGAAGGTATATCTGTGTGTCGTCTGCGTAGCAGTGAAAGGAGACATTGTGGCGTTCAATTATTTGGCCAAGAGGCAGCATATAAATGGAGAATAAAATGGGACCTAAAACCGAACCTTGCGGTACACCACAGGTAATGTTAGAGGTAGAGGAGGAGTAGTTACCGATGGTGACCGCGAAGGTTCTTTCTAAAAGATAAGAGTAAAACCAGCTAAGTGCAGTATCCTTTAAACCAACCCAATGTCTGAGACGATCAGTTAAAATTGTGTGATCAACAGTATCAAAAGCTGCGTTAAGATCTAAAAGAATTAAAATTCTGCCCTCCCCTCTGTCTGCTGCTAAAAGAAGGTCATTGGTTACCTTGAGGAGGGCAGTCTCTGTGCTGTGGCAAGCTCTAAAACCGGATTGGAATTTCTCAAAGAGGTTATTTTCAGTCATAAAAGATAAAAGTTGTGTTGAGACCACCTTTTCTAAAACCTTTGATAAAAATGGAAGTTTTGAGATTGGTCTAAAATTGTTAAAATCAGTGGGATCAAGGTTGGGTTTCTTTAAAAGTGGTTGGACCACAGCATGTTTAAAAGCAGAGGGGACTACACCTTCCGCCAAGGAACTATTAATAATGGATAAAATACTGGGTCCAACTGTGTTAAAAACCTCTTTGAGAAATGTTGTGGGAATAAAATCAAGGCTGCACGTAGCTGATTTCATATGGGTTAAAATTTCAGCTAAAAAGGTCAAGGACACTGGCTCAAAACTGCTAAAATAACTGTTAAGTTCCCTGCTGGTGTCTAAAATACGGTCTGGGGGGATGATTTGTTGCCTAATGTCCTTGACTTTATTAGTAAAATAAGTTAAAAACTTCTCACATAGATCCTGAGAAGGATCAGTAAAATAAGAAGGGGAGGGGGTGGTGATTGATTCTAAAACCTTAAATAAAATTCTGGGGTTAGAATG